TCAGACCCGGATGACTACAGATCGCAGTCTGGCTATGTTTTTTGCTTGAACGGAAGCGCTGTTAGCTGGAAGAGTTCTAAGCAAGCGACCGTTGCAGATTCTACTACAGAAGCTGAGTATATTGCAGCGTCGGACGCATCAAAAGAAGCTGTTTGGATCAGGAAGTTTGTTGGCGACTTGGGTGTCATTCCTAGTGCTGATAGCCCCATTGCTCTGTATTGTGACAACAATGGAGCAATCACACAAGCGAAAGAACCCAGATCCTATCAACGATCCAAACACATTCTCACACGATTTCACCTTATCAGGGAGATCATAGACAGAGGAGACGTGCACATTTGCAGAGTGTCGACATATGACAACATTGTCGATCCGTTGACGAAGCCTCTCCCTTCGTCGAAGCATGATGGTCATGTTAGGGATATGGACATTAGATGTTTAGCAGTCCATGATTAGAGCAAGTGGGAGATTGTTGGTTTAGTGCTCTATGATGTACTGTTTGCTGATACGTGTGTACCGAGTCTAGAATTTATAACCCGATTCACAACTCATCGTAAGGATATGGATTGTCGTAACACGGGGTCGAACACGAGGACCGGTTGCTAAATCCAAATCTAAATCCAAAATAGATCAAAGCAAGCAAGCAAGTGATGATGGAAGTATATGGAATCTATAGGAAACGAAATAAGAACGAAATGAAAACAAGTGATCTATCAAACAAGGATGACTACGGGTGTCGGGATCGTATTCGCGTGTATGGGTATTTACTAAGCATGCGAGAATAACGACATCGTATTTGTATTCGGGAATCATCAAGCAACAAAAATAGAGAATTCACCTCTCGGTCTACTAACTCACTACCTAGAATAACTCGTCAATCTCTCGATCTATTCAAGTTGACCCTACATGCATGAAGAACGCTATCATCAATCCTAAATCGATTAAACCATATCTCTATGTGAATAATACGATTCATTCATCGATCTCGATCCGAAACTAAACTCATATCTCTATGTGATTCAGAATATTGGCCAAGTGATTAGCAACACCAATAGAAAAGAAAGGATAGATCGATAAACCGAAACAAGCATAACGTCGAAATCCAAGTTAGGGTTCAAACATACCCAAAACACATATGAATCCCTAACCCATAGTCGTGGATCTACTCACAGTTCATAGAAAACAATAAAAAGCTCATAAAGAAAGAGATAAAAGAGAGGAAAGAAAGGCTCATGCAGATTTGTAGTCTCCACGATCGAATCTTCCTTCTTCTTTCCGAAATCCCGTGAACTTCTATTCTTCTCTCACCAAAAGCTCTCCAAAAATCTGTATCTAAGTGTTCTCTAAGGTTCTTTGATATTTTAGGACGTGGCTAGGGCTTTTTTATAACCCTAGGGCGGCTCCCAAGAGTCCTATTCCGATTAGGATGCTGAAAATCGTGAAACAGGGTTTTTGACTGGATCCGGACCGATTCCAGGTGGATCCGGACCGGATCCAGATTCCTGGGCTCGAGCATAGGTGTCTTGATTCGGACCGGATCCAGTTAGATCCGGCACTGCACTGACAGTTTTCTGGTCTTCACGAATACACTCATAACTTTCTGCTCCTGTGTCGGATTTACGCGATTTTTGTGTCTACACGAAGCTCTTAAAGTGCTCTTTCCAATGGTATAAGTTTCGCATGATTTGGATATCTGTAGAGAAAGTTATTAATGTCGTAACATGAGTACCTCATCCAGACTTCTCCTTTAATGCTCCAAATAGCTCCTTTCCGAGTCCAATCATCTTCGAAACCTGTAACTCTGCAAAACTAAAGCACGGCCGGGTTTTGTGTCCTAACACGCCTAGAATGTCTATGAATGCATGTGATTATCCCGTAAAACCTAGACAAACTCTTATCAAAATATAGAGAAAAATAGAAGTTATCATTTGCGAGCTTTACTTGGATACATTTGATGTATTGACGTTTTCTATGGTTTTATGGATGAGTTTTTTATTCATTACGTATTGTGCATGCTTTAATATGTTATGAAATCCATGTATTGTTATGAACAATACTAAACTCCCTAGTCGTATGTCATTGTAGGAATAATGATGTAATAAGACTAGTATGATGTGTGATTGATGATCATATAGATGATCATAGGTATTGGATACGATCACAATCATAGGTATTCGTTGGAGAACGGAATACCGGATTAACCCACAGTAGATTGTCACATGGACTAGAGTCATGACTTGAATCTCATATGACGGTTCCATGATTGGATCCTAAGACCTGAGATATCTACGGAATCCGACATGAGGAGTTGCGTGCTTTGAATACGTCAAACGTTCTGCGTAATAGGAGAACTATAAAGGCATGTATCAGGTATGGCACGAATCATGTACTGGATTGTAGATAGTCAAGACGGGATTTGTACCTCTTGTAAAAGAGAGAGATATCGTTGGGTCCCTCGTGTGAGTGAGAATGTAGAACTGTGTGGCTCGGTGAACGAGAAAGCAGTCGAATCAGATAAGGGGCTCGTCCATGCCTTATGTTCGACATATGATATCGCGATGCGAAAGGATCATCAGCCGGAAATCATCACTGGCGTTCGTAAGATCACGACCAAACTCTATTCGACATAGGTGGTCATAGTGTCTTGCTAGAGACCGCCTATGACTTGTATACCCGAAATAGAGATTTCGGGTTATACTGCTATATCGAATGAGCCTACAGGGTCACACACGCAGGGACAAAAAAAGACACGAGAAAAAGACGGAAAAACCGAGACGGAAGGGCGAAGGGGCCAGCCCCGACGGTCCGCCAGGTCCAGCCCCGACGGTCCGTAGAAGGCAGACCGTCTGTTCTGGCTTGTCTTGAACGGACGGTCCACATAGGCAGACCGTCCGTTCTGAATTGCTGGAACGGACGGTCCACGTGCATTTCTGGACCGTCTGTTCCCGCTCTCGGGTTTTCGAAAATTAGACCGAATTAAGGTTAAATCACAGAAGGAGATTAAAACCCTAATAAAAGAAAGAGACTTTCACTGCCATCTGGAGCTGACTTTTGACAGCTTTTGGTGAGATCAAAAGAGTTCAAGGAGTTCTAAGTCTCGTTTTCTCGAAACGATATACCGAATAGCAGATTTGGGTCCTAGTAGACAAGTTCCAATCGTTGGAATCCATCCCGAGGTGTGGATACGTGTAGAGGGCGAGGTAATCTTCCTGCCTTGAGTGATCGGACGAAAGGATCAATTGAAACAGACCCCGGATCGATTGAGGTAAGCGTTCTAACGTTTCTACGTAAGCATGCATGCATGGTTATAGGGTTTTATTCAAATTTTTGTTTTATATCCGCTGCGCAAACCCTATAATTGATCTCTTAGGAATAGGATTCGCTCATGAGATCCCAGGAAAACCCAACAGATCAGATATGTTCACGAATCATATGGAGATAGTAGACATGCAATATGACACCCGTAACCCGTGTACAGTATACGGGTTGTGCCACATGGACAAATAGTAATAAAATAATAATATGGAAGCAAAAATACAAAATCCAAAAATATTTTTCAACTAATAGAGTAAGCAGCGGAAAATACAACAGGCGATCAGTATCGCAAAATAACACATGTCCAAATAGTTATAATTAACCGTACAAAATACGAGAAATACAAGTTCCATAGTTCAGAATACAAATCTCATACATGATGCTGCCTCTCTCAGGTCGTCGTCTGCCGGATGCGCTAGGCGAAATCCTCGTGATCTGAAAAATATAAACCACGAGGGCTAAACACAACTGCTTAGTGAGTAGCCCAGGTTGAACCCGGTAAACCCGTTCTCAGCGAGAACGGTGTTAATTCGATAATTCACAACCAACAAACAACAATGATATGCATGCATAACCACATCACATCAGTCACAAATATTTCAAACACAATCATACCCATATGACGTAGCATCATAGGGTTAGCCAAAGATCCTAGTCATATCCACATGACTAGAAGCGTCTCACACACGCCTGTCACTCGCGTGACGTTGGCCATTGCATCACATGCGACTACGCACGTCTCCTGCGCCTGTCACTCGCGTGACCTCCGATGTCAATCCATGATACAACGGAACTACAAACATACCCGCATGGAGTCCACCATAGGGTCCAGCCATAACCCTAGTGTCTCGCACGCCCGTCAAATCCA